AAAAAAAAATGGAAATGGAAGAGTCGTTAGTGTAAGTTTTAGTAAGAGTTTTACAGCACTAGTATCACAAATAGGTCATAGGCGCAGAAGATTCGAGGTCTTACTAAAAAGTAAGAAACAAATAAACAAAAGAAGAGGAGAGATAAGGACGAAAGATGTTCGATGTGATAGAAGGAGCAAGCCACAAACATCCTCTTGTCACTGCAGGATTCTCTTAACCGTCAACTCAGTTTCAGTAAAATTGAAATAGAGCACAAAAACTAAAAACCAAGGCATTTCTACCACATTTTTAGCCGTTTAGAATCCAACATTGCGGTGACTATTTGGATATGTCGATCTAGCTGAATCTAGCACCATCCAATGAAATGCGAGAGATAAGTTAAAATACGTGAGGCGTGAATCTAGCATCATCCAATGAAATGCGAGAGATAAGTTAAAATATGTGAGGCGTGCTGACAAAACGAGTTACTCGTTGCAATCCAAGAACGAAGATATCGGCTGAAAATCGATACTGGGGCAGATTTATAGATTTTTAATTGATGCCATTTTGTTCAAGTCTACCGTGTCTTTTATTATTCCATGCTTACAAATTGTACAACACAAAGTTGTTGCATCAATTTCCATAAGGCTTAGAATCTGAGTTGTTGTTGTTGTTGTTGTTGTTGTTGTTGTTGTTGTTGTTGTTGTTGTTGTCGTTGTCGATCCAGCAACAGCTGGGCTCTCGCCCTTCTGTCCAATGCCATGTAGTGATAAAAGTGCAGGTTTGCTGCAGTTGCTGTAATGTTCCATAGAGTGTGTTGTCAATGTTAGGTCTCGGAGGGAGAAGGGTAGCTCTGATGTCATTTAGGGCTGTGCAGTGGAACAGGTGATGATCCACTGTCTCATATGTATAGTCACACAAGGGACACATTGGGGGAAGTTCTTGTTTTATTCTAAAAATCCGAGAAGTAACTTATTTTGTCAGCACACCTCACATGGTTTTTACTTTTCGTGAGTTTTACGGCACTTGCAACACAATAACATTATATAAGTGCCGAAGAATAGATGTGTTACAAGAGAGTAACACACAAAAAAGGAGGAGGAGAGATACGGACAATAGATGTTTGATAGGAAAGAAGGAGCAAACCACACCACAGCACCCCCCCCCAACCACCCACACATAATATATGGTCTAGCGGACCGACCTGCACGGGTGAACAGACGCCATGGGGGGACCCGGGAGGTTTGGGTGAGCCTCCATTGTGACCGTCTTCTTGGCGTGGTCCTGGCTGAAGTCCTCGTACATCTGCTCCACACACAGGGGGGTGCGGTTCTGGTGACCGATGAGAGGTGTGGGGAGGGAGGAGGG